AGCAAAGGGCAGGGGCATTGGAAGGCTCTGGCCTAAATAAGACCTTGAGGTCATCGAGCCTCCTGGACCATGGAAAAGCCACTTTGTGTTTCTATGTCAACTTTATTCATCAGCTGACAGCTGAGTGTCCCCCATCTTCCAGTTGATCCAATCACGGTTGCATTATGTGCTAAGGCAACAGAGACATTCCACGCCTTCTCTCCGCTCATCTCGGCAGACGCCAAATTTTACAAGTTGGTAATGTGGAACCAAAACAGACTTCACTGCGGAGGCTTGTGGTGGAATTCTAGGCAGCCCCCGCTCCTTAAACACTCGCCAATCCCCAGCAGAAAAAGAGCTGTGGTGATGTATTTGCCGAGCCATTAGACGACACAAGTGGGCCGCGTCGCCGTGCCGACAGAGAGTGGGATGTGTGGCCGCGTTACCTTTAAGCTCTATGCAAATAGGAGGAAGATGGACGGGGCCAGAAAGCAGTCCAGCGCACGCTCTTCCTGAATCTTCCTTTATTTTGGCGAGCCTTCACACCGCCCACCTCCTGTTGTTTCCAGGACGGGGGAAAGGGAAGCAGTGGTGCCACTGAGCCGCCGACTGCTTCTCCATCACCTGCTGCAACATCCGGAGCTTCAACAGGCCTGGAGCCTGCGTGAAGTGTCCATTGTGGCTCTGCGCAGGCACTACCCTCTAGCACCCCCACCCCCCCCCCCTCCACTGCAAGAAAGAGGCGAGAGGACAGCCGTCCCGCCAGTACAGACGGAGAAAACAGACCCCCTTTGTTCCCCCCAGCCCCTCCTCAGCATCGACCGAGGTACATGACCCCCCCCTCCTCCCTCCCTCCTGCGACCCTGTGAGCTTCAAAAACACTCCCACTCCTCCTTCCACTCCCTCTGCTTGTTCTACTGGGCGGCAAGACTGCGCATCATCTTGTGAGCATTCAGGAAACACGCGCGGCGAGCGCCCGTCACTCAAGTCCCGTCTCCCTTCGCTCGCTCGCGCCGAGCCGCCCGAGTCGAGGCTGACTGGGAGTCCGATCCGGCGGCACATGCAGGCGCTCTGCGAGGGGGTAGAAAGGGAACGGCGAACCCACAACATTACGTTCCATTAGCCCAACCACCCACTTGAAAAGGGGGGGGGCTGGATTGCTGTCACTCCCTGGCAGTTGGTTAGGACAGAAAAGAGCATCGCCGAATGCTTTGTTCACACCAAGCGGTGTAATTACCTGACACGGGCTGTAATAGCGTTTCCCCGGGCAACCGTGAGGGATTGGGCTTGATGACTGTCATGGTGTAAAGCTCTTGGGTGATGATTCCACCCTCACAGGGAGCTGATCAGGGGCATCAGCGCTGACCGCTGGCCGTCCACCGTCTGCCCCCAAAAAAGTACCACCTAATGTAACAGTACGGCTACTTCACTCATTCCTGTGTTAACAATGTGCGACTGAAATAATGTTTCATTATTGATGATTCCCCCGTTGGTTTTCTCTCGGAGATATCAGGTGTACTGTCATGGAACACCAACAGAGATGTCCACATTTGAGTAACTAGAACCAGAGAATTCTCATCTCTTAATCCTTCCACTTCAACAAGTCTTACCTACGTAAGGTAGCGAGAAACAGTGGCTCCAAAACATGTTCAATCTAGCAAGACAGTCGTAATGTTGGCAACACGGTTAGTGTCTAATCGCAAAACAGTCGTCCTGAACCTAAAGACACAATGGAAGTAAATAACAAAGCAGCAAAAAGCTCCTGAAGATTCCATGACAAGCGATGAGTGCATTCGGTCATTCAATCATTTCATTAAAGGCAAACGAAATCAATTTATTACGACAGTGTTTCCATATCATAAATCTTTTTTGTCAGAGCATCTGATTGATGCAGTTGGGCTGTAATGACAATTTCAACAAATGTAACAACGTGTTTTGAAGAACACTTCCAGGCTAAACCTTTGAGAAATAACAAAGTAAGTATAAATTGTCAAAGCTATTTTGCTGCAGGAGAAACCGCAGCAAAGTGTCTCCCCATTTTTGTATCTAATTACACATAAAAACCGTCTCGCTATCTGTGCCACATAAATCTAACATCCAAATGCCCCAGTCATCTGTCACCCTCCACTCCTGATAATACAATAGAGGTCTAGTATGTAAACATCAACAGTTGCATCTGTGTGGAATGGATTCGCAGGAAGGCGTCAATCCCCATTAGACACTGCTGCCTAACTGAGTGTGAAACTCTAATTGCACCCAGCAGCCTGCAGTAACACAGGCCCCAAATACCAAGAGGGAAAAACAAAGCGCAAAGAAACATACATGTCCCTCTGTGCATGTACTCATCTGCCCATGCATGCATTTGTCCCGATTACTACCAACGGAAGTGTCCAAGCATCCGTGAAGCGGTGGGGGACAGCGTTGTCTCCGAGGCCCCATAACGAGGCGCTCATCAGTCCCAAAATGAGACGAACAAGCCCGTGACAAGGAGGCCGAGGCGATGTCAGTGCCCGCCGCGTGTGACCCGCCCACCGGGATGAAGCGCTCATAACCGCGATGACGCTAACGGATGGGCCCGGGCCTCCATGGGCCCCCGGAGGTTCAGCCGAGCAGCACTTCACTGCAGTCGTCCCCGTACACGTGTTTCCGGGACACAGTGGACCAGCTGGACAAAATGTCTTTCTTGCGTGGAATCGCATGTATTATACATTGTTCATTCTGTACACATGGCGTCCATTGTAGTCTGTCCATCCCGGGAGTGGGATCCTCCTCTGACGTTCTCCCTAAGGTTGCTTCCCTTTTTTTCCCTCTTGGAAGGGTTTTTTCATTTTTTGGGGAGTTGTTCCTGTGCTGATGGAAGGTTTCGGGACAGAGGATGTCGTATGCGTACAGACTGTAAAGCCCTCTGAGGCAAATTTGTAATTTGCGATTTTGGGCTCTACAAAATAAAATGAATTCAATTAAATTCAATTTGAACGCATCCATGCCGTTCTAGAAGACAAAATAGTTACCGGCGCTTTATCCAAGGCCTGTTGTCTTCCACTTGGAGACACATTTTGTGGTTTTGACAATACATTATACCAGTTATAATAACGTAAGTGATGGTGACGGTATGGATACTGATGGTATCGTCACCAAACCAGGCAAACTTATTTAGAGGGAAAACCAAAGTGTAAAATCCATAAAGGTTTTGAGATTTGTGTGCTGTACTTTTTAAATATCTGTTAACCAACGACCTGCTGGCTTTAACTTTCCTCCACTCGGACTGCAGCTGCAGCCAGCCGCGTCCTTTTTGAAATCCCCCATCTTTGAAACGTGGTTTGGACAACACAAAGGAAGTGTGTCCTCGCTGACATGAATCAGGTTCCCATCAGTTCCTCTCCGAAATGATGTCACCCCCACCGGCATGCATGTCTCTCTATCTGTGAGACACTTTGTCCCGGCCCTGCCTGCGGTTGCTGCAGAATAGTCTGCGTGTTTCTGCGGCCCACGGGGGGAAATTGGTGGCATTTTCCCCTCCAACACCCAAGCTTTTCCCACAGCCCCCGCAGCCGGGCTGCCCGCCGCCGGTTTTAGGTCAGCATCGGGACTGACTGCTGCTCTCACAACAAGTCCGGCCAACGTGTGTCATGGTAATCCCTCAGTTATGCAAATCCCCCCCCCCCCCCCCCCCAGTGCCGATGGGGCGCAGGGTGAAAGTAAAAACGGGGGCACAATGTGGGTGACTTTATCGTCCCGATTCCCCCCCATTGGTGAAATGAGCTCGAAATGTCCGGTCCGTTGAACTCTATGTTCCGGAGAAGAAAAGCTCTCTGAGCTCCGGCTACCTCCCGAAGAACCCGTCTAAAGACACAAACTCACACAAACACACACGTCTGGGGATATGCGTATGTAAAGTGGTATCGCACATTTTGCCGCCCGTTTGAGAATTAATGCAAACGGGACATGAGGCGGGGAGAGGCAGATATTGTTATCTTCTTAGACAGATTAACAACAGTCTGCCTGGAGTGAATAAACACTACCGGAAAGTGTGTCAGACCTTTTAGAGAGAGAAGTAAGAACAACAGCTTCGCACAATGAACTTCATTAGCATTTTATTAATGTGGCTATCCGAGTAGGCAGCGAAAGTGGGCAGCTGAGGCATGTGTGTGGGGCCGTGTGTGTGTGTGTGTGTGTGTGTGTGCGTCTGGGGATGAGCGGGCGAAGGGGTGCTGCATGATGGGCGAGTTCCCCCTCGACTGAAGCTCTGACCGAGGGGAGACACGGGGAGGGAGGACAAGGAGGAGGGGAGGTGGGGGGAATGTGAGGTTTTCTTCTTTTCTTCTCTCTTTTCATTCAGTAAAGCAAATTGCTCTGCTTGCATGATAATAACATGACGTGAGCTCTGCATGCCGATATCTGCTATGCTGAATCTAATGGAGGGGCATTAGACTAAACAAGTGGACAGTCCGAACCAGACCAGAGTTGTGATATGAATATGAAGGGAATTAAACATGGGGGAGAGGAGGGGGGTAGGGGGGGGGGGCAAATGAGCTTAGGACATGAGGGATTTTGTCTAAGAGGACAGCTATTTCATCAACACGGGACACAACAACAACAACTGTCAAATACAGCAGATCTACCCCCCCCTCCCCCCCCCCTCCCATCCATCCATCCATCAATCTGTACAGCACCACGAAGCAAAGGACAGATGACTTCAAGGGTTCCGATTGGACGCCGACTTCTCACAGCATCTCGTGGCGAGTGATTGATTTGACAGGCGCGCTCACCTGCACCTGGTCTCACTGATGGCCCACAAGCCAACACGCAAACGCGTCTTTAACACACACACACACACACACACACACACACACATACACATATGCATATATACATATATATATTCCTATTTAAAGATTCATCTCTAAATGCAGCGCCGCGCAGCATCCAGCTCATCCTCCTCCTCTCTGCCCACAAACTCCTGACAGTGAACTGTACGCTACCCGACACGTGTTCATTACGACCGGGAGAATTTAGCTCACCTTTACCGGAGCGACGCAGGAAGCGCGTGTCCGTGTCCTCCGTCCCGTCGCGTCGGTCTGTTTACGCGCAGTCCCGTGGAGCGCCGAGCCTCTTTCTGCGCCTGTGTGTCCTCTGCCTCAGTCACTGGTCCTCTCCGCTCACCCACCGGTTTACCGACACTCACACGCGCACCAAGACACACAAGCGCAGGCGGGGGCGCGCAGCAGCACACCCGGGGCGCGGGCACGCCACAGCGCCGCGGCCGACGTGTGGTGGCCTCGAAGCACTGAAGCGTTGGAGCGAATTGTGCTGGTGCTTTGGTACTTTAGCCCCCTGCAGCCCCCGAACCCACAGATGGACAACAGCTGCACGAGTTCTAGGACACAACCAGGCCAAGTTGTCTCTTAGTGCTCAGCAGTGTCAGTTTATCTTATTAAAACAGCAGGGAGCTGGGATTTAGTGCAGTGTTATTACTGTTTAAATTAAGCATGGCAAAAATGCTGAATGTTAAACGTTGAAATAATTCCCAGCCTTAACGGCGTAATAATCTTGTGCATTCTCGTTAATCTGCACGCAAATTGTGAGAGAGGAAATCAAAAACAAAATTCAACCAAAACATCAAATCTACACGATACTACTCGGCCAATAGTGCAGCGCTGCCACCTTTTAGACACTGGACTCCACTCAAGCAGCTGTGGATTTTAATTGCTTGGAGCCATTTGCATGTCCTGGTACGCTACACCAGCAGTTTGCTCTGAGACCCCGATTGGTAATCATACAGTAGCCTGTGGGATTCAATGTGACTTTAAAAGCAACATTTCCTCTTAGTTCAATCTGCTGCCAGCCCGCCACGCTCGCTTGTCTCAGCGTTGTTTGAGTTGCCACCCAGAGGCTGGTTGACTAAAATGAGCTGAAATGAGGTTGGTGCACGAACACGATCAAATGGGTCCATGGATCATCATTTGGAAACAAACCAATGGGCAGTCCGTCAGGAGAAGACTAAATAAACGACGATCCTCCCGACACACCACCATTCATTTTTCCGACCATCGCCTTTGTTTGAGCGAAGCCCGCTCTAAAACTCTTCTGCTTCAGTTCGCAGCAGGCCTCGTGCTCAAATGTGTCCGGAGGTAATTCCCCAGCGTCGATGGAACCAGTTTCCCTCATCATCAACCGGATTCGTACCCACATCCGCCTACGGTGTCACACTATAGGAAGTAATCGTCCTCGCCTCTCATTTCCGACCGCCTCCAGATACGTCTGCACACCTCTTGAATCTCATTAAAATATTCTCTTAATTTCCCTCATGCATATCATGTGTAAAATACTCTGAGGAATTTCCAAGAGTTCAAGGATACAGCGCGATGGAGACGAAGCACTTGGAAGTCTGCAAAGCCTCTGCAGTCAGGTCTGCGTGTTGAGATGCAAAAAAAAAAAGACAAGACTTCTTCTCCGCCTCATCGGGGACTCCGATGGCTGCCGATTACCGCGGCAAACGCTTTCCTCCGCTGATTGTGCCGCTCGATTCCATCTTGAGAAGGCTTCATGGGACAGATGCAGCGCCAGAAAGCCAAACACAAACGACCTTCCTCCCATCAGAGGCCAGAAGGCTCCCAGTAAGAACCTTCAAAGCAGTCCAAAACGACATCCCAGCTGTTAGCGGTGTATTTAAAACGTTGTGCGTGTACTAAATAAAGTTTTTGTCAGACACAGTGAGTCAGTTTCTCTTCAGGCAAACTGTCTATCTTTCTATCACTCGTCGTTCCGTCATTGTTTTTCAAACGAGGCAATCACATTTTGCAATTAAACTCTTCACATTTTATCTCATATTATATCTGAAGCTCCCTCCAAAACTAATTAAGTGCTGATGTGCTGGGATATCTGAGCTAAATGTGAGAATCAGCCATAAAACGTTACACAACAAAGATGGGGGAACACTTCACCTGTCGTAACCTCCCTAATACATGATCCCGACAAGGACTGGTGACACGTATTTATATTCAAAGTCTGAAAGTTTGGCCAAAGGTGCAAAATAAATCCAATTACTGATGTGATTACTGCTGGGGGACGAGTTCATGAGTCGGATCTCTTTACATCAGGGAAGGATGCATTTCCTCTCAGTCTGCTGCATTATTACATTATGAATTTTCTATATTGAGTGGGAGCAGCCTTTACTGGCTTCCTAACCTTGTTAACACACAGGGGGCAAAAACATGAATCCACTAAATACAGCGCTGTGAGCAGATATGTTAGAATAAGGAATATGTTTTAGAACCATTATTCATGTGGTTGCCAGGAAAAGGGGTTTATTCTTTTCTTGGAAACAAGCGCGCCACGTGTCCAGGCGCTTTTGGTTCTTTTCCACATAATTTGCATGTTTCAATTACCGATGCTTTTATCACAAAATTAAGCTTTTCGAGCCATCTCATCTCTAAGCCGTGAATCCCTTATTACTGTGTCACGATATGAATTTGCGCTGAACAAAGACTGGACCAAACCATCAAAGAGAAAAACATGTTAAGAGCCAACAGTGAAAGGTAAAGTAATCAGTGGCTGAGTGAAGAGAAGCAGAGAACGAAGATTGTGAGTTTGGGGACACGATATCGACTCCAAAGACCTTGGACCTTAGAGACAATAAACTCCAAATGCTTTTTGAACTTTCCCAAGGGTTTCGATGCCCCGGAACGTCCTTGACAAGCTGGTTGTCAGGCTAACAGGTGTGCCGAGTGTGAATAGAAACTGCGGTGTATTTGCACTATAGGGGCTCATTGAAACCACGTCACCAACTAGAAAGTGCATTTCCTGCAGAAAATGCGTTGGAATGCTAAAAGCTAAAACCTGAAATGTTTTATTTTGAAAAGATTTCGGAAAATACAGAAATGCAGCGTCCAGGTTATTTACATGTGAGAGAACCACGTCCAAGGTGTCACTTTTTGCTCAGCACACACACACATCTCTGTCACGGCTTTCCTTTCTGTGCGCGTTGCATCGTCAGCAGCAAAAACTGAACCACATGCTGATAACGTCACAACTAGTAAGTACTAAGGGCCCGTCGCAGATCATCAGAAAGCCAGTGGGTGCTTCGAGTGCAATAAGCTGAGCAAAGATATTTTTAAACAGCAAAGGCCTGATCACATGTGGCGACGGCCTTCTCTCGACTCACCTGGATAACTGAGGAAGACTCTGAGCGATCTGCGCCGGTGTGTGTACGACGTGGTGGACAGAGCTCAAGTCGGCGTATTGACGCTGCTCTGTACATCCACGCGCCACGTTGCGCTTCTGGTGGGCTTCAAAAGAAGCAGAGGCAGGAATGCTGCATTCAAGGGCGGCCTTCAGTATTGTGATGGCGCTCACTGCTCCGGTGCGGTACGAACCAGCGTGCTGCCGGCTCTCGGGTGGTAAGGGAAGGGATTGCATTTGACTGATTGTACCGGCTGTATTGATATTTCAATGGATCATCCTGATGAAATAGATATGATCCAATCGTTAAGGGTCAAAATGTGGGGAACAGGGATTTCTGTGTTGCTGCTTAAATGCACCTGGCTACCATACTCATGACTGACTACTGGTTGGGAGGAATCATTTCTCCAGAAATCTCTCAAATGACGGTTACGCACTTTATGTACAAGCAGAATTTGAGGAGGATCAGACGGAGAGCATGTGTTTCTCTGCGGTTATACGATGACTATTCAAAGACCCTTGATACATCTCCTGCCCTCCTGATGAGAAATCTAAATATCCAATTGAGCTTAATCAGGATCCATGAAGATGAGTGAACAATCAAACAGCTTCATTGTATGATTATGTATGTTGCAGTTGGCCAATTCAGTTCATCTATAAACTTGTCTGTTTTTCCATCTGCAAAAGACCAAAGCCCAAAATGTTTTTATCTCCATCCCTTGTATTCGGAAAACTTAAATTCCAGGTAAAACAATACGCGGGTCTGTGAGCGTCCTGCGTCCTGTTTCATTCCCCTCCTCGGACCACCGCTGTCACCATTTGTCGTGTCGCTGTGTTGTCATGCGTGGAAGCGGTTGGTGGAGAGCCGTCGGTGCGCGGTGTTTACGCTGGGGGGGGGGGAAACGCATCCATCACCACCGGGGCTGCTGCCTCGCAGTCATCTCATCTCACCTTCCCCTCTTTTATTGCAGACAGCTTGGGGAAGGATCTTCATATTGCCTCATACCTTTGGAGCAGGAGGTACAGAGAACAAAAATACACCGGGTAGGTCGATACTCAGTGGGCGCCTGCAGTGGTAATTTCACCAGAATTTGCCTAGTTATCTCGTATCGGTTGGAAGCACAAGTTTAGCGGCTCAAAACCCGCCTTCTTCTTGAGATGATCCACAAGCTGCGAGCACAACGGCAGGTTCTACTCAGATCACAATTCAAATAATTAGGAGGCAAGATCCAGCAAAATTCAGTGAGGGGTTTTATTACATACACTCTCAATCAGTCTTTACACATAATCAACAGAACACTGGAATTATCAGTCCAATCTGCATCCACTTTAGCTCAGGGAGTGAGTTATACAGTACTGAACCGGGTTAGGCATAAATGTCTGTGGTGCATTTTATTGCTGTATATTGTTGTTAAGCTCAATTCAGCCGCAATCAGTTTTGCAGCACTTCTAAATCCATAAAACCAAAAAATTAAGCTGATAAAAGGATAAAATAAATTGAAACAAGTGAACTTAAAATACTCTGAGGCTAAAATAACAAATAAACGTTACCTCCTTATGCCAGCATTTACATGTTTCTGCTGTTAATCGATCTATTAATCATTACAGGTATTATAGAAATAAATATTGAGGTAAATCTTTGCAACGTCCAGTTCTTCAAACTTTTTTTTGTGTAAAATCTTAAATATTACATCAATTTAGAACTACAGCGTTAAAGGGGGCCCTTTTATTAGTATACCATGACACAGTGACTAGTAGCTCCATTGTGCACATTTTAGTGATTACATTTTAGATTTGTCTCTTGCATTTAGTGGTCAAATACAACCATTTAATGGTTGTTGGTTTTTTTGTTACAGTAGTGGTGTTTTTGCAGCTTAGTTTAACAAATTGCTGCATTTACTGCATTTCAATAACACAAATATCCCTGCGACACATTTTATGCGAAAGTACAAACACGAGTTTAGGGAGATTTAATCGGTGGTCATAACAATAACAAGCTTAAAGTTGAAAAGTGCTCATTTGGTAAAACAGTTCATTACACTGTGAAAGCCAACAGGATCTTTCTAAAATGTGGAACTGCTCCTTTAAGGATACGAGCTGCATTGGCCAGCTGACAGACAATCCCTGTATTACTTCTCAAATCCACATGACGTTCTAGCAAATTTCCTTTAATGCAACAGCCACAATGTCATTGGGGGGGGACAGACTACTTACCTCTATTTTTTTTTTTTTTTTTAAAGCTACAGGTCAAGAGGTCAACACCATGACACACCAACATGACATAATGGAGGCTATTTAGAGTAAGAGGAGCGTTTCCGTGTGAGGTAGAGGTGGCTGGTGTTGGACCTAGATTTTGGACGAGTTAAAGTTATACATGTTGGCTCGGAGCCTGGCCCACTCCGTTACCGTCTGAACCGAGCTCTTCTCTCGGGTGAGGAGCCCGACGACCTTCTTCAGCTTCTCCTCGTTCCTCTCCAGATACCGGAGGCCGTCAGCCTGCAGCAGGCTCAGCTTCTCGTGGCGGCTCTCGTCCATGGAGATGTCCTCGTTCATGAAGGGGTTGAAGCGGAAATAAGTGTCGGGGGGGAGGAAGGCGTCGAGCATGGCGTGAACCTCTGGAGGGAGGAAGAAAGGGGGGGAGAGGGGGGGGGAGGGTGAGGTCGCATAAACATACATATACAGACAGAAATCAGGAATACACAATCAGGTTTCTAATAGTCTCCGTCTGTTCAAACATTCAAGTATTGTGCTAAGGGTGAGAACGGATGTGAAGAGTCAGAGAGTCAGAGTGTGTGTGAGGTGACACCAAGTGAGACCGCCTGGCCTGCCAATCACGGCTGCTTTCAACGGCTACGGCCGAAGGGTTTTTCCAGTCGACAACATGCGAGTGCGCACAGAAAAAGGCGGCGAGGAGCAACAACAGAGATCGTATGCCTGAAGGATCCAAAAAGGTGACGGAGGTCGGTTCCCTCTGTGTTTCCACGCTGGTTGGGCAGAGCAGCCGGCTCTTCATTAACAGGGATGTCATTACGGACCAGCTGCCTTCGAGCCGTGTGCTGCGTGCACGCTTTGGTGCTTTATCGTTGGACTGGATCCAAAGTGTCAAACGTGAAACTGCAGCCGCACCGTGTTCTCCGTGGGCAGGAGGAGAGCGTTCGAAGGGAACCCCCCCCGGCCAGCCGGTTCTAAACCCGCTGCTCGGTCTTATGGATCAAGGGAATTTGTGGCCTGCTAGAACGATGAGCGAGTGAGTTCTTTTAGTGAGCGAAAGCCAGTTTCATCAGAAGCGGTTTGCACCCAACAGCCCATTAGCTCTGCTGATGCACCTGAGGCGCGGCGGGAGGTTTGGAGGAGGAGAGAATGTGCGATAAACCCTCTTGCTAATCTGAGGATTCTAAATAACAAAACCTGTGGGATGACTCGGGAGCGCTTAACCCCCAAACACACAAGGAAAAAAAGTGCAGAAAAGCATCTGGGTCACCAGCAGCATCGGGGACGGGGCCGAGGCAAATGTAGGCACGGCGGGGGGGGCCCCGTGCACGGAGGTGATAAGGAGACAGAAGAGGTTGGCACCGCAGAGTCACAATGGGACGCGTCCAGAACAAAGTCCTCCTGCACTGCAGTGTTTTCTACAGCAATTTAACCCAAATGGGACATTCATCATGAAGATATCAGCAGAGCAAACAATTCACGGTAGATGACCGTGACGGCTCGTCGCTCTTGTTTTTTCGGTTTGAAATCAGATCTGAGCGGGCGGACTGAGACGCGTCGGCAGAAATCAGATTCCATCGTCTGTTTCCACCAGTCAGGAATCACGAAAAGATCGTACTAGTTGAATTTAGCCAGAAAAATGCGGCCTCAGTCTGAAGGCCTAATAGCTTAAAAATAATGGATCCCACGTGTCCAATTAACGACAGCACTTTGTATTGAACGCCCGCCTGATTGGTATATTATATACACACACACACACACACACACACACACACATTCTAAATGTGGTATATTACACACACACATTCTAAATGTGGTATATTACACACACATTCTAAATGTGGTATATTACACACACATTCTAAATGTGGTATATTACACACACATTCTAAATGTGGTATATTACACACACATTCTAAATGTGGTATATTACACACACATTCTAAATGTGGTATATTACACACACATTCAAAATGTGCTATATTACACACACATTCAAAATGTGCTATATTACACACACATTCTAAATGCGGTATATTACACACACATTCTAAATGTGCTAACGAGATAAGAGCTCCATTCAGTCACTGAAGATATCGCCATGGGCTGTAAGCTACTCACCCTCCGTGTCCGTGGCGCTGCTGATGACGTTGGTGAGCTTGGTTTTCAGGCTGGTGTGGGTGGTGCTGTTGTTGCCGGGAGTCTCGAAGCGGCCCGTCCCGAGCGAGACCACACACTCCAGGGGCGTGTCGGGCCACAAGCACTTGCACTCGTGGATGGCCAGTGCCGTGGGATTGTTAATCAGCAGGCCTCCGTCCTGTGCGCAGAACAGAAGAGCTGCCTCGTTTACGCTCTGTGAATGGGTTGGGGGGGGGGGGTTCTGTGCCAAGACCACAGTCAGCGAAACCAATTAATTGGCATTGGAAAACACAAAATCCTTCATGGGTTTCAACGCTCAATAGCTGACACTTTTGAAGAACATCCGACGAAACAAAAAAGGACAGATCGATGAGCAGCACCAGACCTGCTTCAAAGTCTACAAAGCGTAGAGCTAAATAGCCCCCCCCCCCCTCCACCCCCCCTCTTTCCTTACAGTTTCAGTGGGACTGGCTTTGATATTGAACAACTGCCCAGGAGTGCTTTTGCTTTGGATCCATAGTCTACCCAAGGCAATAGAGGTAGAGAGGCGGGGGGGGGGGGGGGGGGGGGGTGTCGGGATTGTTGAATAGGCATGAGGCTGAGGGGCTGTAGGCTGGCACCAGGATCAAACACACAGGGGCCAGTCCTCATTAAAGAGGCCAGGCTTGGGGGTGGGGGGGGGGTGGGTTGCAGGGGTTTAGGGACCCACTCCGGGGGGAACACTGCTTGTTTACGTGGCTGTGCACGTGTTTGATGGAGAGCTCTGCTTGGAGTCAGTGCATGTAGTGATGTGGCTACGCGTTTGTGACAGCATATGTCACATGGATCCAAACACAATGGGCCCCCTGGGACGAGAGGGGGGGGCATCCCATCTTTACAAACAGATCTGTGCTAACGCAGAGCTGCCTGCTGCCTACCAAGCTAAAGGGCTGCTTCATACACACACACATATCATACATCCAAATACCAGGAAAACAGAGTTTTAAACAGAAAAGGGAATCGTTATTGTACTTTAACTGAACCAAGTGAAGCCTCCTATAGTAGTGGGGGCTCTGTGAGTCACATGTGGCTTTAAATAAATTGGTTCTCCATATAAAAAAAGAAAAGTCTAAAGAAGTTAGGACTGACGAAGGCACCGCGGTCGTAAAGGGACATGCTAAGATGTTCCACAGATCACATGGACACACAATCTAGAAAATACATGACTGATTAATCAATGATAAAAGTTCAGCTTGTTTCAGCTGTACAGCAGCGCTATGAAAGCACCAGATGAAGGGTTAGAGTCACAAGTCATCCTGCAGAGAACATGACCGAGTCATCCTCTGGGCACCATGAACTTACGGTATTAGTAATTGGGATATTGGGAATATGTCAATATAACAATTGAAAGCCAATCCGTATGATTCAGCCTCTGGGGACCACGAATGACAAGATAGTTGATGTTTTAGTCTGAGCGGTGAACGTTGCTGGCTTGGCTGAAAAAAAAAAAAAAAATGACAAAGGCAAACCCCTCCACTGCCCCCGAGTAGCACTGACTTAGTGTTCAATGATTCAAAAAAAAGTAATCCTTCATGATAATCAACGGTCCGAATCCCATTAAAACCTTACTATTTGGATAGTTTCCTCAGCGAATCAGAGGTTCCACATCCCACTGGCTCAGATGGAAGTCACACACAGCGCTTCACTGTCCCTCAAAGCACAGAGGAACTGCAGAGGAACTGCAGAGTCAGCCGCTTTTCCAAAGCACGTCGTTAAGCACCAGCAGGGAACCTGGCCGACCGAGCAGTGAGCACCGAGAAGGGAGAAAACTGCTGGATTGGAGGTGCTCTTAATGGAGACTTAGAGGGACCTTCACCGCCGATCGCGCCGGACGAACCCAGCCGGGAAAAAACAAAACAACTCAGCAGTTTCGTTATCGCTCACGCCACTGTGAGAGGCTCCATTCTCTGAAGTCAGCGGCAATCATGGCAGCGGTCTCACAGGCTCAGTGGCCTGGCGGAGCACACGGAACCAAAGCATGTAACGTTAGAAGATGACTGCACAATGCGCCTGTGAGCTCAACGGTTTAAACTTGTCTCCATTTCAGTGCACCGGCTCGGCCAATTCAAAGCATAGTCGAGGCCTTTAAAGAGAGTCGGCTCTTTTTCTTTGCTTTTGGGGAGCGAAGACGCTTTGCGGTGCCGCTGGAGGACACTAGGTAGGGTTCATCTGTGAGGGGCTCTCAGAACCTTTTCCAGGAATCAATAATTTAGAAGATAATTTGCATTTGTTTTTGTCCCTGCATAGCTGTCATGAACAAACAAGCTCGTCTCGGGAAGAAGCCGCCGGGCTCGATCTACACTGAACGCTTTGAGTCTGGGAGCTGCTTTAAAGCCTTTCAGTCAGATATCCACTGTTGGCCCACCGCCACGTTCTCACACAAGGGATTCCTGAGGCCGGGGCACATTTGGACGTAGACTTAGAAACAATTGTCTACTTTTAGGACGAAATGCGAAATGAGCCTTGCATACAAAATGGCCAAAAACAAGCTGTCAGTCAAACGCGCAGCATGGCGCGAGGCAAAGGTCACTTCTCATTTATGGGGATTTAGAGCTGTAACACTGTTTGCCAACTGACAATGACTCGGCCTCACTGGGAGAGAACGTGCCATGCGTCATTGGATAAATGTCCTCGGAGGGCACAACCCTGTCAGTCGAGACCATGTGACCAGGTTTTAACCTCGGTCTGAAAGGAAACTGAATTTGGAAATTGGGAGTTTGAATAATGCCTTCCTGAAAGGCTTAATGATTTCCTTTGACGGCGTTGCTTGATTCCGGCAGAGCCTGTTAGTGGTTTTCTCCGAAGGATCACAGCTCTTCTGGCCTCGCCTTCGCCCTTCAGGGTCTCGGGGGACTGATTTGCGAATCAGCGCCTCAATTCCGGTTATCTCCAAAAGGAGACATTTATTAGCTAATTAGGGCTCCTCCCACACCTACAGGGTCATGAATCCCTTCTTCCTTTGGACGATGGAGGCTGAAATAAGGCTTTCCGCAATGAAACGGAGATGACGAGAGCCGTGGTAAATAAACAGAATGAAGACGTGATCTACAGGACCCTTGCTCTGCTGGTTTGAAATTCCCCGGCTGTCATTAACTTTCGGGGGCTTATCTTCAGTGTTCCAGTTAAAGCCGCCTTGGAGAGGGATTAGAATAGGAAAGAGGTGCTATCGCCAGGATCGGTGAAAGTCATTTCACGCCCCAGTGTGCGTCTGCTCCCATTAGCAGGGACAGCAAACTTCCTCCCCTCCTTTCATCCGCTGCTCCTGCGTATCGCTCACTCCAACCCGAGCTTCAATGGCGCGTTGAGCGGGGGGGGTCATGACAAGCGGACCCTAACCTTGCCGAGAACAGAGGGCTCGCTCAGATCCAAATGAGGTGAGCCGTCGCCGTGCATCTGGCGCAGCGTTCGCATCACAGACCCGATGAGCAGCCGCAGTCATTAGGAGTCTTTGACAGGGCCGGGCCGAGGGGCACCGAGGGGCACCGAGGGGCAACGAGGCTCCCTTCTCTCAAATGATTAATTAGGGAAGTGTTACATAAGTCGTGGACGTCCGATTGGGCCGGTGACAATGGCCACAGTTTTCCCAGAGATGGTTATTCAAAGTTATGAGGTTGAGGAGGAAAAAAAAAAAACCTCCCAATACTTTCACAAATCGTCCAAATAGAAGCACACAGTTTGCACATAAAAGCAAGATCTCTTGATTTAATGGTGCTAAATATCCCAAAACGGCACCCAACCCACATAAAAGGGCCCCATTGTCAGCAGCGAGGATGAGAGTGACAACATGGTCAGTGTGAGGAGAGCCACTCCTCAGGTCAAGTCAGAGGTCTTCATGCCTTATTATGCAATTACGCCGACCGGTTCTCCTCTTTGCCTTTTTGCTTTACGGGTCTCAAAAGGGTCAAATAGGAGGCTGTCAATAGAGAGACTGGTCTGTGTGCGCCACAACTTTGCCCCAGGCAGGCAAAGAAATGAAGATCTACTGTTCACGGTTACCTCTTCCCACACATTCGGTGAATGCGGGACCACACATGGACCCCCAGAATTGAAACAATGAATCATTCCTGCCGACTGTTCAAATCAAACTGAGATTTACTGCAGTGATGTGAACAGCTAAGGAACACCCGCGCACAAAACACGCACAGTCCAGGTTCCCTCGATGCCTTACGTATATATTTGACAACTTCATATTAGACGGCATCATTTTTCCGTCCATCATTTGCTGAGCAATTTGAAGCTCATTTCCCTGCTGTACAGAGGAGACGTGAGTGAACACTTGCATACCAATACGACGGTTCCCACCACTGATTTATTCCAGTGAACCTGTGGGGCCACTGCAGAGGGTCGGGATAAAATAATCAGCGGACTGACTTAATCCCCACACAAGTGTTTGCAGTGCAATCAGGTGTTTGTGCAGGAGCGAAAGCGTAAATACAACAGAACAAAAAGAGGAAAAGTTAGAATGAGAGAATGTATGTGTGCATGTTGTTACTCGGGGGACAAAGACCCCGAGCAGGAAGCCGTCTGCAGAAAAAAGTCTGAGCTCCGTCCTGCGAACAGCCTCCAGGCCGAGCTCTCGGGGCTTAACACAGGAGGAGAGGACCGGGACGAGGAAGTGGGTAAAAAAAAGCTCAGATTTATACCTGAATCAACCTCCTCTCTTCCCCTCTGCCTCATCTGAGGAGCACTGCGGGCGCTGAGCATGTAATTCACGACCAAGAAAAAGAAATGGTGATCCAAAAGCTCGTGATATTTTTGGACTGCACTTAATCACGTGAGACCGTGTGCCACTTTCGCCTCTCTTCTCACAGAGAATCAGTCGGAGTTCTTTAGCCAAAGCTGCCACATTTAATGACTTCTTAGACCCGTTTATGTCTCATCCCCTCGGTCATCTCGGAGCAACAGGAGATCTAGAAGTGCAGCTGTGACCTCCTCCGTTTCTGGCTCTGTGAAGGCTCTCCGCGTTGTGCCGGTGGTGGCCAACTAGCGACATGCCTCGCATCGAATCTTGGCAGAGGTGGGAACAAAACATCCTCCCGTTCCTCCGCTACCGCCTCAGGAGACCAGGAGACACCATGGCAACACGGAGGACAAAATCGGGCCTCCTCGCCATTCCACGCATGCCCTGGCACCCACTGCGAGCCTTCTGAAGGCTTCTACTCCTGTGTTCTTTGGAGCCGAGATAACGGAGCGAGCTTTAATGTGGAACCACCCCCCCCCCCCTCACTAGGGCGTCCTCTCCACGGCTATGGTAGCAACTGTAAGGTTGTTCTGCTTCAAAAAAGGTCTCGCTGGAAGGTTACAATTTCCCTTCGCGTTACCGGTGAAATTGGGTGAATCGGAATCTCTGGCGCCGTCAGATTTCAATTCGCGGAATCACCAAAGCATCCACGAACAATCACCACTGTCTTGAAAGGCTGCTTGAGAATTGCGGCAGTCGTTCAGCACATGGCAGAGCGACCGCGCCGCTCTCAGCGAAACAAAAGGGCGGATTGTTTGGTGCTGGGATCAAGTGGAGAACTCTGTGGGCGTCTGTGGAAAACGGCGCGATGACTCTCTCCTCAGGGAATCCCGACACCACAACAGGCTGCGTCTTATGCTCATGACGGCTGTCAGCAGCCCAGGGAGATAATAAAGGAGGCTGGGGGGGCGGGGGGGCGTCGCGAAGGTGGCAGGGGTCATCTGGAAAGTACCGTAGTTGAAAGGCGAGAGAGAGCGAATATTAGAAGGAGCTTATTAGAAAATGCTGTTCCATGGGACTTTATGGGATAAAATGTCCGATCACGTTTAACGCGCCATTAAAAGGAATTGCGTGTGTGTGCGTCACTATGTGTACAAAGTTATACACCTCACAGGGACAGGAGGTGTGCAGGAGACTTCAGGATCCAAGACAAACGTGACGTTCGATATAGGCTAACGTTACAAGTACAGGTCGGCCCTGAAGGCGCAGAGCTAGTTTGAATATTCATTAACTTCATCACTGGAAACCAAAGTCAAGACTATGATTTTGACATCAGCATCTCTTTAAGAGTTTAGAGGATCATAAACCTGATTGAGGAGGATTAGAGAGGAACAGATCATGAAAGGAGCAGAACAGCTCTATGAGGTATACTGTACTTAACTGCCCAACTGCTATAAAGACACAACCATTTCTAGGTTGTTCCATTATTTTGATATTATTGAGAAATCCTCACTCAAGAGGATCTTCATGAAATCAAGATGCTAAACTTTTGTAGCTGGTGGAAGCACAGCATGTGCAACGAGCTAACAAATTGAACTGAATTTCTATTCTTTTGACAGAAAATAAAAACAGCAGCTGGAATACGATGGTGTCAGAAGTTCCTGCTGGTGACTAACAAGAGGCGCAAGTCATTTGTCTTAATTGTGCGTCCGAATGAGTCGGATGTGGGATTCGGCGGCGTGTGATGATGGGAGAGCTGCAGCGCACTAATGAGACCTGCAAGCTGAGGACATCTCCCACCACAGGTGGGTCTTCATCAACCAGTCCCTTTCATTCTTCCCCAGTCACCTACACTACTGAGGCAGCTTCCAATTAAGAGACGGCCTTTGATGCAAAAAACACACATCATTGCAGCGCGCCGTCTAGTGCTTCCGTCTTCAAACCCTCCCATCTGGCTTTTGAATGTCAATTCAAGGAGACGCTGGAATCGGGATGTGGCGGCTTAAACGGCGGCAACGTCGACTGAATGCTCGAACAGAAGTCAAGCTTGATGCCTTGCAGCTACGTTTTTCCTCATGGTCTTTAGTTTAACTCAAAACTACTCTGCCTCCGCTCATGTGGTTTGTTGTTCCCGAAAAAAAAAAAAAGGCAAACGGAGCAGCCATGCATATTGATGAATCAACTGGTACAGTCGTGGTCGGTTATGTCACGGATGGCTAACGCGTGTCCGTGTAGTGGTGATGGATTTGAGTGCATCTCACTGCGACTCACTCTCCTGTTAAGATGGAGAGGGAAATTAACGGCGACAGGAATGAAAGGGGGGTCCGTCCCCCCCCCCCCTCCGTGTGGAGGATGTTTCTCTTTAGGCTGCTGGAAATCCTTCACTGTCAATCATCAACGCAGACTGTACATGTATTTAAATCCAGCAGCCCGACAGATTATTGTAGCAGAAGACTCTTAGAAAAGTGCAAATGGGAAACAAAGCATGAAGGAACACATTGAGTGAAAAAAAATATATATATATATATATATTTCACTTGACTTGTTTGTGCATTATTTTTATACACAATAGCATATCGTTTACCAAAAATTTAGAGTATTAAAATGTTATAGAATAGAAAGATTTAAAAAAAGGACAATATGTTTCCCCAATAATTTAGACAAGGCCTGACTTGGTATTTTAATTGGATTGGGAAAAAGGCACCTCATGTTTGAGGGAAGCCCACCTAGACTGCGTATATACACACAAACAACATTATTTTTGGTACCGGACTTAATTCAATGTTGTTTTGACCCTTGAAAAAAGAAATGCACCAGATGGGGATCATGTTTGCGTAAAATCAAATCCAATTGGAAGTTGGAACATTGTGTTGAGTAATCACATATCCCAGATAAGCAGAACTACAGTAAATTCAATAAACTTTTGTTTTAGACAAAGTTACAAACAACTAGAAACAAAGAACCTGGCAGAACTATTATTTGCTTCCTCTTGACATAAGGATTGTCCAAATGAATAAGATAGCAAATGGTTCAAAAATGAGGAATGATATGGAACTGGTGCAGGTGAGGTATTGACCCTTCGATGTGTGCATGCAATGCTGCGATGTCATATTGACCTCTTGCAATGTGCCAGTTTTTGTAAATGAAAAAGAAAATGTGACCCATCCACTCCGAGGGCTGCCAAAGAAATCCTAAAGAAAGACATTAAACATTCACTCTGCTATGTCCTCATGGAATATAAGCTCGTGTAACAGTTGTGCTCGTGACACCCTGAGAGTTCAAATGATAGCTTGACCGGTTCCGTGACCCCCTCCACCCCCCCTTCCTTCCTTCCCACAACCCCGTTACTGCTGTGAGTAGGACAGACCTGGTGGAGATCGTTTCCCAACTTGAACTCCTGGAAATAACCCGGGGCTGCTGACGTGGCCCGGATGGCCTGCCACAGCTGGTGCTGGGAACCCCCCAGGTAGGGGGAGCGCATGCCGGGCAGCAGGTTGTAGTTCCTGAACACGTAGGCCTTCAGGCTGCCGCGGTTCACGATGGTGCTCACCGCCGCCACCTACAGCCGGAGGAAATGACAGAACCGCACTCTCTCAGCATGAGGCGGCGTTTGGCAAACAGAACGCAGGCGGCACGTCGCGTCGGACATTCTGCCACATTCTGCCGCTTTGATGACATCTCTATACTGAATACTGGATACCTCCCGAGCCACAGTGTCTTATGTGGCTTTAGAGCGTATTTGACTTCCACTTGTCATTGCAGAGAGAGAGATGGGGGCTTTTTCTGTAATATCCCATCAAGGTGAGCCAAGGGCTTCCCGGTCAGAGGCAGAAAAGAACAAGCGTGAAGAATGTATGAGGCCGTCTTCTAAAGCTCACCTTGGGGCATTCGGGGTTTCTTGAAGTTTCCACCAGAAGCTGAGAGCCCATTTTCTCTCTGTGGAATGGAAAACAGGGCTATGTCATATGTTTGTGAATTTTGGACAGCGGCAACTCTTGTTGCAGCTTCTCAAAAAGCTCCTGCACATCACTTAAATGGAATTTTAAAGTATTTTATGCCATAATATTTTTTTCAAAGGACAATTTTACTGCCCAGTAGCAGTAGAATTCAAAGAGCAGGCTGGCTGTTTCCTTTCATCAACTCCTAGTTACGTTTACTTCCTTTCTCTCTCAGCAGCACAAAGGAGCTGACCTGAGGATGTTCTCCCAGGCTTCGCTGTCATAGAAAGCATGGTTCCAGCCCATCTTCACAGTACCAACGATGACGTTCTGCTTGAAGACATCTGAACCCAGCTTACGGTAAAGGTCGTCACACTCGTTCAGAGGGATTTGGAACACACCTAGCATGAACCCTAAAATGGCACCTGTGGAGAAACACAGTCAAACATTCACAGAGGGAAAAGGACTAAATAAACAACACAACGGCAGGTTTTCACAAACAGGAAGTGCGAGAGCTTCAGACACTCCTTTGAGAATGCTGCTGAGAAGGTGACCAAACATGCATGACAGCTCATTGGTGTCCTTCTCAGGCCTGATGTAGCACCAATTACGTGAAGGGTTATTTTATCCCTTTAGAAACTTTAATCTTATCACTTTATCTCTGTGTTGAGGGATCGCTGCTAGGACAACCCATCCACAACAGAGCTGTGAGGGCAGAGGTGGGGTGCACCTGAATGATGTGGCCGATCAACCCCACCAGATGTGGCCCAGATGGCTTTTTAAATGTGTAAACATCATTCAATCGAGCAGACGGATTACATCTTGCTCTGAAACACATTCACTAATTGTAAAAACAAAAGGGCCTCTGGTCGGGGTTAAGACGGGAGAACTGATAGGAACTGGGGACAAACAGAAACTTCTGGCAGTGATTAAAGGCCACAGTTCATCTCCTGTCAAATGAAAGCGACCAAGTGGCCGGTGGAGATGGTCCACAGCATCCCCTTGTGGTGAATTTGGATACGGGGAAAATAATATATGAAGCCATCGAAAACCAAATGAGGCAATGCAGTTTCATGACAAACGGTCATCTGTTTAACAAACAAACAGTTTTACTGTGGCCTGACCTGGGCGAAAAGACCATAACAGAGCAACAAACGGGTCAGTTTGTGATCAGTTAGTTAGTCAGCCAACAGGCACTCGTGCAATGTGACCCAGACAGAGAAGTAGGACAACTCACCTGTGCTGACACCACAGATATAGTCAAACAGTTTGTAAATAGGTTTCCCGGTCAGGGCTTCCAGCTTGTGTAACGCCTGAAGTGCAACAAGTCCCCTGAAAGTACAAAGTCAGACACACACACACACGCAAAGAGCGCTGAATGAATACAATGACAACCACAGCAAACACACTTTCTAAAAAGTGCGCTGATTTATTTCCCACAAGTAAAGAAACAGATGGTGATCCAATTAACTGAATGTTTCTCAGGGCTACATTTATAAATAAAAGCCATCAATAGCTCATCCAACAAAAAACTGCAGAGCTGAACTTGTACCGTAGCCCTCCTCCATCTATGGACAGTATCCGAAAGCCCCTTCCTTTCACAGGTTTATGGTAGCCCACCAGAGCGAGGGCTTCTCTTACTGCCGCCCCCAGGCCCGGGTCGCTGGCCTGTTTCAGACGCAGCAGGCAAGGGATGACCTGTTCCTGGAGAACACGTAAACATACTATGTCAGATGTGGGGATGCACAAACATTCACAGGGGATTAACATTCCTCACCCTGGTCAACGGTGTGAAAGGTTAGCACTGAATTAGTTCCTCACGCCATCACAGATACGGCACGGACATAAATAAATACTGCAGTGTGTTCTCAACATGTAGAGCGGCTGCAGAGCCTTGACATTAAACAGAGGGATGTGTAACCTGTAGCCACAGCTGACCAAATTACATTTGCCTGTTGTGGGAAAATTCCCAAACAAAAGCAGCAGGTCAACGTTGAGGTTATTTACACACTACGGCTGTCTGAAAATTCATGCCAACAATAACTGGTTAATGCACGTCTGTCTATAAGCAGGATTCCCTTTCCATACCGATTTAATCTCTTCCGTAGATGCATGGATTTGTTTCTACGCTATTAAAGGATCGTATGTACCAAATAGGCCTGCATTTGACATCAATGGATTGCAACTGGTTTCATGGAGGTTAAACAAAAAGGATAAAGTTCATGAGCGAGTGCCAAACTTAAAGAGCGGCTGCTTCTGACATGGCCAGCGGCCTCAGGCACGTTCCCTTCTCACCTTGACTGCAACACCACAGGTTTCTGGAAACTCCAGGAGATGGTAGCTGAGGTCCTCCACCCTGTTGATGTAGACTCTTACATCGGATGCCCTGTGGAGAGCCTGAACCAGAGCCCGGGTTCGATTGTCCACACTCACCCTGGCAATGATCTGGAGACAATGGAAAAAAGAGAAACCAATAAATTCCACCTAAGGGAACTACAGGCCTTTATTTACATTTTCATTTGAAAAGGGTAACCGTCATTTTGATTTACAATATGTGACACTGCTCATGAACGTTGTCACTGTAGCCTTCTTTATTTCTCAGGTGACCTCTTGTACCCAGACGAGAAGCCATCAGTGATAAGATAAATGAACGTCCAACACTTACTTCAATCCCTAATATTCCATTATATCACAAGTTGATCATTACATATTAAAGAAAAAAGGTTGTCCCTCTTACAGGGGACGGAACCTAATATTTCAATTATGAGCTCCACTCAAAAGTGTAAGAAACTGTGCAAATACATTTCAAGTGCTACATAACTACTGCTATATGAGCTAAGTTTCTAAATGTCATATTGTAATCCACATATGAGTGTGTCCACCATCTAAAAGTAGATGCCCGTGGACAAGACAAGAAACACGATCACGACAAAGCTTCGACTACAGATTTGTATTTGATTTTGTTCCTTTGATAATGCAGATTTCATGTTTGCTCCTTGGGTTCAATTTAACAACATGAACTACAACAAAACTCGATGACTGGTCTAGTGAAAATCAGCCAAAGCTGTGCAGTGATCTAGTATTAAAAAACAAAACACATCCTTAGTTTCGGTTTGCCTGTTGTGTTAATCTCCCCAACATTAAAGCATCGACAGGCTCGGCCTATAAAAGGTTCATATTCGACGGCCCCTCGAACTCTGCAAGGGAGTTATTTTTAAAAATTGATTCCCAGAACTCGGGCAGCGCATCGACACGCTACACTAATCTATGGAGCAGCAAGAGCTCTGCTCTACGTGTGGACAGTGGGCAGCCTGCTAGAATTATACAGATAAAGAAATGTGTACGCATACACATTTCACTTTGACGTAGACCTACCTTCTCTCTTTGAAGTATTAGTTTCTTGGCTTTCTCCTCTGCGGTTTTCGGCTCATTAGTGGTTGTGACCTCCATCGGTTTGACTGGTGCATCATCAGTCTTCTTTACCTCCACTATAGCACTTTTGTACTCAGCGGTCCTAAACTTTGGGACCAGGGGAGCAATGTAGCTTCCTACGAAGGCTTGTACAGTGGGAGCCGAGTAGGACAAGTAGTGTCCCAAACCCTTCTTTGCGGATGGTAGGGTAACTGGAGCTGCAGCAACTGTTTTACCAGGTACTGGCATGAGGTCACTAGCTTGTGGGGCCTGAGAAGGAGCAGAGGAAGAGTAAACATTCTCCACTTTCTTGACGTTTGTACTGCTGCCAAAGTAGGAGTTGATGTGATGGGCCAGATAGTTGTAAGTCTCATCGAGGCTGACTGAAAGGGTGCTGGGATGGAAAAGTGCTGTGGTTTGCTGGGAAGATTTGCCCTTGCTCTCATCATCACTCAGTGAAGGTTTCAGCTCCTTTTGCTTCTTGGCAGAACTGGCTTTGACGGCAGGGACAACACGTCTCACCCTTTTCTCCTTCGGCTCCCCCACAGCCAGAACTGCGGCAGCGACAGTTGCTGGGGAAGGATTGTGAGAATGTGTGGCGGCAGTAGCATTTGCATCAGATGTAGCAGCAGACGTAAGAATAGACGGTTTAATGGAAGATGAGCCACATATAGGTTTAGGAGGATTAGATGTAGAAGGGGGAGCGACATCCGTAGGCGCAGGAGTAGGTGAGACTGCGCTCTCTTCTGCTTTTTGGGCGGACTCGACAATGGCCTCACCCTTTTTCCCACCTTTTAGAGCATTAGGCTTGAGTTTGGCAATTTTGGAGAGCAGCTCTGTGTGCGTCCCGCTCACGGCCTTGGAAACTGTGTCCAGTGTGTTCCTGACCCGAGACATGTGTTGGCTCAGACCAGCAGACCACCGGGAGGCGGAAGTGTTCAAGAAGAAGGCGCTGTTGTGGAGTCCAAGCCGCTGTCTAACCTGGTTAGCTTTGCAGGGCCATCCCTTTCGCCCAGTGTTCCTCAGGTGGTGGATGTGCCTCCAGCTGAGGTAGCCCACCCTGTAGCAGTAGGGCTGTGGTACATGGACCCTGCAGTGAGCGGTGCCAGACGAGGGAAGCGATGCTGCAGACTTGTGGGCTTGGGATTGCGACGAATGGAACGCTCTGCTTATTCTGTCCCAAGTTTTTGGGGCCCATTTATGACTCATTCTTCCAGGTCACAAGGGTTTGTGAAATCCACATGAATATTAGGTTTATGCTTTCCCTTGTCATTAATCTGGTAAAGAGGGGGGGGGAAAAGTTATGAATGAATGACTATAAGAGAAAGAAAAGTTAGCAGGAAATGTCATGCCATGCCATGACGTGGAATAAAAGTACTAACTACTCCCATAAATGCCTTAGACAAGCGAATTTAATATCTAACGTTACTTACCATCACATTTTCAACATAAGCAACTACCGTTAGCTGTTAGCTCCTCTATCGCAGCTAGCGTTAGCTAATGGTAACTCAGCTCCGTAAAGGCACCACAAAACATAACAAACCGTACCTGTTTCACCGTATCATGGAAGACAGAAACGCGGTTATACTCTCATTGAGTCGTCAACCTACGTATAGGTTCACACAAAAATATTGCTCCGTAAACTATGGCAACACAGCGTCACTAGATTTAACACAACATCCTTGTTGACGTGCAACGTCAGTGAAATGAAAAACAATGATTACGCAACCCTCTTTGCTGTGCGATTGGCTGAGTGTCGCTCGACCCCTTGAATGGAGCGTGCTGATTGGTTGAGCAAGAACTCCCCACCTTTTACAGTGAAAGAGGTTGAATTGGGGAGGTGGAGTCATAATCCGATGTTAAATGGAGCGCCACCTTTCTATGATACGCGCGGGATACTATAATATGATATAATGTATTGTTTAATATTCATACGCAGTTAGTAATAGTTAGCAGTGAGTAATGTCATTCATTAAAACAGCACACATTTGCTGTAAACGCTCACAATAACATCAAGGTCACTATCGGACGGTTGAGAGGGGGGGTGTTATTAAGTGCAATGGCCAACAGAGAGCAGTAGCGCGCTTACTGATGACATCCGTTACCCGTATTCAGTGAAGGCTCGAAGAAGAGAAGCTGCGGCTGCACCATGATACCGCTTCTGACCGCTGCCTCTCGATAAAAATCACCGAGGTGACGAATTGAACGACATCATGTTTAGCGTGGGGTGAACGGTTTGACTGGCAAAACCTCAACAATCCATCTTAACGCTCCACTCGTGGCTCACATAAAAGGGTAAGTTATCACAAAGTAGAATAACGTCACCGGGGCAGTATCTTCTGTTAGCAACGTCGGCTAACGTAACGCTACTTTAGGAGTTATGGTTGATGCGCGGTGAAACAGTAAATGCTAACGTTAGAACTTAATTGCACCAGCTCTAAGGTGTTAATATTTATTTTTAGAAAAAACACTTTTTTCGTCTCCCAAATAAATATGGTGACGTCATCCAACGTTATAATGTGACTTACCGTTCGAGAGCTAACGTTAGCGAACGTAAGGTGTCATGTTGTCATCACTAATCAACTCTGCTTTTCTTCATTGCATGCAAAACTTTTTTTTTTAATTTACCAGCTGCTCATCCTTTGCTCTCTCCTCAATTCAGGGACCTCAGAGCCATGGCAACCGCACAGTCTGCAGTAACGTTTGCAGTGTGCATCTTCGTAATAGCAGAGCTGATACTCGCCAAGAAGGACTATTATGATATACTTGGAGTCCCTAAAGATGCTACTGAGCGGCAGATTAAAAAAGCTTTCCACAAGCTTGCGATGAAACATCACCCAGATAAGAACAAGAGCCCTGATGCTGAAGTGAGGTTCAGAGAAATTGCTGAAGGTAGCGATACTCGTCTTTCTACTTTGGGTGTAAAGAATCCTCCTCTGTGAAGATGACTGTATAGTTCAGCCGTTGTCAAATTTATTAAAGGACTCTGTAGGATAAACAAATGTTAGATCGTTCACGTTATTACATATCACACTTGTCATGATCGTGGTTAGATGATAAACCCATGACTTCTTAAATATGAGGAGATGCAGCACTTAACCTTTCAAGACTTGAATAAATTATGTCTTTCTTTTTGCAGCTTACGAAACTTTATCAGATGAAACCAAAAGAAGAGAATATGACCAGTTTGCTGACACCTCTGCATACTTCCCCGGGAAGACGCAAGGCAGACAACGGCAGGGTGCCCACCAACCCTTCAGCTTCAACCTTAATGACATTTTCAAGGACTTTGACACCTCCAGTCAGAACAGGCACACCCGTCAGCAAAGACACTTTAACGAAGACTCCGGGTCCCACAAGGAGTCTAACGGCAGACATAAGAGACACTTTCAAGGAGGTTTTGGAGCAGGTGTCTTTGATGACATGTATGACGACATAGAGAGAATGTTTACCTACGACAGACACGCCAAACAGTCTGACAACCGGTTTCATGGTGCATCAAAACAACACTGTAGAACAGTGACACAGCGCAGAGGAAATATGGTAACCACTTACATGGACTGCACTGCGTCTTAAGATGCAATTTAAAATGGCTCATGATTAGAAATTGCCCTGTCTGCATAAAATACTGCTGTATTAGATAATAAGCCACTTGGTTCAAATGTATTCAGGCACAGAATGATTTGAATAGTGACACTGTTTACCTAGCTTCACATAGGTATACATTTAAATAATTGTTTTGTCAAACTATTGTGTATGCTTGTGGACTCGAACATGATTGTTGTAGTTTTTCACCCATCTTGGAAATAAACTCATGGAGTATTTTGTAATATTTTATTAACCTCTTTATTTTATTGTGGAATTGTACAGTTTGGAAAAATAAAGCAATCACACTGAATTTGGCACAGGAATACCCACTACTATTAAGTTTGGAAAAAAAACAGACTACTACTACTATTTTATTGTAGCAAATACAATTTAGTAAGTTCTATTCACTGTGAAGTTCAGAAAACCTGTCCGTCCTTTCGTGAAAAATTAATATCATTGATAATTTCCAGTGGGGGAGTTTAATTTATAAATGAAGTCAAACCAGTTCATACATATTCCCTTGGGAACAATAGGGGAATTGCACATTTATAAATATTTTGGTCACCGTTGGTTACGGTTACGTAAAAGAAAAATGTCAAAATGCCATTTTATTGGTGGAACACGAGCCTGACGTCACATGCAGAAAATGTAGTTCTGCAGAAGTCAATCCCCAATCACAGGAAATGGTGCGCGAGAGTCGACGGAACTCCAACTCCCAGGATTCTATTCGGAGCAACCTTGTGCGCAGTTGCTCGTCTATTCAAAGAGACGCCAGTAGCATTAGCCGAGAGACATTGAATGACTTTGTAGCACTGTCCGGCCGGGTAAAAAAAGTTGTCTGTTTGACAGGTCGGGATTAGAATTTGAGCTGATGGAGGCCCTCATTCCTGTCATTAACAAACTGCAGGATGTGTTTAACACGGTCGGCGCAGACATCATTCAACTGCCGCAGATAGTTGTTGTGGGGACTCAGGTGAGGAACGTCACTTTGCGCTAAGGCTAGCGAGTTAGTTAGCCTGCGCCAACTTACTGTTTGGACTTCTCCTGGAGTGTGACCCTTCGTTTTTCTTTCAGTTTCCTGCAGGTGTATCAGAAAAGAAAACCGCGGAGACACCTAATGACAAACTTCGCCTTTTATAAATCTACGCTCATTTACGCAGCTAAATTAGCCCTAGCTACATGTGATCTCATTCACACTCAACGCAGCTAAGTTAGTTATGTTTTTAGCTGACAGTTGTAGATCAAAAACGTATCCACGCAGCCCTCAGTCACTACCAAATCAATAAATTCTTTATTAGAACAGTAGTAGATTACTTATCGATTGAACATAAAGGTTTAACGTAGCATTCCCACTAGCATCTACCATGTTTCCAGTTAGGTGACTGCCTAACGTTAGCTAACGTCAAATCTAATGCTGATTAAGTAAATAACCTGCAATCCCTCCAATGAGGCCAAAGGTTCTAACCGCTCCACTGTTTATTTTGTTTTGACGGTTTCATTTATTATGAGGGGTACGCAGTGTAACCTTGGTAAAAAAAAAACACTGGTTGACTAGCACGTCGAATCCACACCTTTTATTCTCTAATTCATTTACCTTCGCTCCGGCCGACTGCCTCGTGTACACGCTAAAGCCTAATCGGTTTGAAGGGGCAGGATTTGGTCTGAATCATTTCCATTCACTGGTCAGCTGATCGGATATTTCTGTCTAAGTCCTTTTGGCAGGTGTTACAGTCACGATGAGACAAATGAATGCAGAGGATGTTTTTTAAGGCCCTGTGTTATGTTTGTCCTTTCCATGGCTCCACAGAGGCCCAGATCTGCAAAGACCTTCATATAAACTGTAACTGAGACCTTATGCCAATTATTGGTTGGGTCGAGATGTATTAATAGGCCCACACAGTGACTATGTCAGTCCAAAGCAAACATTAGGTTTACTCCCAGACAAAGAATGTGATCACATGTATAGCCTTTACCTCCTACTGAGGTAATCAGCACCAGACTAAGGAGGAAGAATCTGTTAGCCGTTTGAGCTAAGTGAGTTATTTCAGTTAAGCAGATCTCATTAGAATTCCTCGACCACGCATGCGACTACACCAGACATCCTCCTAGTCGAGCTCAGTGCTCTGCAAATTGGATTTCCCTCTTTAACGAGTCACCCAAATAGTGATGCTTTTTACAAATATTAATGATGATGATGTTGTTGTCTACAGAGCAGCGGGAAGAGTTCTGTTTTAGAGAGCCTGGTTGGCAAGGACCTCCTTCCCCGTGGCACTGGCATCGTCACACGCCGGCCTCTCATTCTACAGCTAGTGCACATCGATTCGGAGGACTGCAAGAAAACCAGCGAAGAGAATGGTAACGCCACCGTCCCCTCGTGTTATCTGTGGAGCCGTCGCGTATGTATCTTCCTCTGCAAAACTAAACTTCAATCAACTTTGGTAACTCCTCAGTTATCTTTATGAACATGCAACTGATTTGGATGTTTGGGTGCTAAAAAGGATCCGATAACAATAGTAAAGTTTAAAACAGACAATCAAGGGAACCGGCGTTTCCAATGGGCCCAACAACAAGTCAACTAGTCATTTCTCTACAGCAGTTTCTTGTCCCCCATCAGCCAAATATACACAAATACAATATGTCTGCCAAAGCTAGTATATCGGCCCGGCCGTATTTAGTGAAACCATATCAGTGTTTGGGTACATCTTATACAATCCGTTTTGTCTGGTCATTGAGTGGGGAGGTGTTCATGCAGACATTAAGCTGACTCATGGCAATTGCACTAGTCCAAGATTGAAATGTAACCGATCTTAAACGCACACTTTATCCAATCACAGGAGACCTCTCTGCTACCGGGGCCGTAGTAATGCATCTATTTGTTTTATGTGGCGAAGAGAGCAGCATTTTAAAGCAACACTGATGCCGTCCGTCCGTCTGTCCGTCCATCCATCCATCTGTCAGTAAAAAGAAGAGGGGATGATGAGTGATAAGAGGCTGCTATTATTCAATGCTGTCTCTGGGGAAAGGCCTCGCTGCAGTTTAATGCCGACGCTGCGTGCCGACGCCGACGCTCTGTGGAGCCGGGCTAACTTTTTTGTCTCCTGTCGTCTCTTTAATCACAGAATCCAAGACAAAGG